TAATGCTATTCTTATGGAGAACATTTTACGTTATATTATTGACTAAGTCAAAGGTTTTATCTAATTTTGTGTTAAAATTTGGGGAATTTCACTATTTTTCCGGGATCGAGACCTTTAATTTGAACCCTCTCCCGTCGTTCTACGACTACCCAGTCGCCCACAATTTTGTCGCAAAGAATCGGCTTTCGTAATTAATATATAGATAGATATTTAATTTCCACAAAATCAGTTAATGTAACCAATGCGTTTCGTTGAATTGAAAAACAAAGAACACAATTAAATTAAACAGCTGATGTAAACAATATTATGTTCTTCGAAAGGATAACATGAGAACTTAAAAAGCCACTGTGGCAGAGGCCAAGGGACTTTTTCAAAAAATTTAGGCCAGTTTGCAAATCTACGCAACACGCTCTTTCCAATGAGACGTCAGTGGATAAAATCGGTTAAGAAATGGTGGAGGATTCAACCGATAAACTTCGTGTTCGCGTATTAATTATATAGATTTCATAAGTGCATGAAATGTTGGTGTGAAACCAACTTGTATAACTTTAAGCTAAATGGTTTAAGTTACCTGGCTTCGTCAAGTGATCCTTCTTCAGTATTACACTACTATAGTTTCGGACTTGAAAATAAGTCCATCTTCAGAAAACGTCAATAGGTCATCTAACCAAATTGGTTAGATGACCTATTGACGTTTTTGTTAACCTGAAGATGGACTTCCAGAGGCTACCTCACCATGTATACCTTTGAAGTAGAGGCTATATTTATTCCCAAAAGGTATCAAACGCTAGATCCTGATCAAATCTTTTCTATCACTTTAAAGTTTGTTTCGTGTTTTTAGTCTTCACGTACAGAGACTTAAATCTTTGTATTAAATTGTTAGCAATCATAAATCGTGGACAGAATCTTCCACAAAAGATAAATACATAGTTCAACACCCTAGAACTCCTTAAAAAAATATGTTTTGTTAAGGCTTCGTCATAATGTTAAAAATACTCAATACAACAAATTCATTAATTTTACATATGTAAACGTTGATAGTTGTGTGCGTATTGTATTTTAATATATCTTCTGTATACATCTAGTCCTCTATATTTTCTGTGTACACAAATGCTTCTGTATACACTTTTTTTGCAACTCACAGTTACTGAGAAATATTCTAAACTGGTGAACTGTTTTTATAAATTTTTGCCATTATTTCTCAACCCGTGCTTAAAAAATTAGTGACTCGTGGATAAATCCAGATACAAAATTTAATCTAAATCGGACCACAGGTTTTGTCTGTAGCTCTGTATCTGGATCATACAAGTGTGTATTATATAACCTGATATTAGTCAAAATATGTTTTATTCTATAACGTTTAATTTAATTAAACATAAAAGTCATGCTCCCTCCATTTTTAAAGTATTCAGTCCAAAAATGTAATAAATTTTCTTGTGCATACATATTTATTTCGTTTTAATAAATAATTGAGGTGATGCAATACACTAATGTAGGCAGTCGCAGCAGTCGAATCCGGGCATAGCGCCTAAAGTTTCACGAACGCAAACCGCGCAACGAGTAGCTAAATGAGCCGTAGAGTAAGTGAGCCATCTAATATTTTGAAGAGGGTTCACTTACTATACGGATCATAGTGCCAATGAACTGTAGAGTAAGTGAGCCATCTAATATTTTTCTGCAGGCTCGTATAGTATACGAGCCTATTCCTATAATTTATATTATTCATTATTTTGGCTCGTATACTATACGAGCCGATTCCTAAATTATCAAATAATTCGTAAGCTTGGCTCATAGTCACTATGATCTGTAGAGTAAGCGAACCTTCCTACTGTATTTTTAAATATAATACACGAGGCTCATAGGCACAATGATTCGTAGAGTAAGTGAACCCTCTTCATTTATTTTTTATTTTCGATAGGCTCGTATAGTATACGAGCCTGTAGTGCAAGTGAACCTTCAATATTATTTAAAAAGCTCGTATAGTCTATGATCTGTAGAGTAAGTGAGCTGTCCCCCAGACGTGCACGGTAGCGGCTCACGTCTGACGTGGGAATAGCCACTGCCTTGAAAAAACCGGTGTTAACCCATTATCAACTTTATGTTGCTTTAGAAGGGCAAAGCGGCCAGATGACGTTAAAATAGTACAAGAACCAAATAAAGACCAAGGAATCGACCAAAAATGGATACTATACAACAAATACTAATTTGAAATAATAGCTTCGCCAATATATCTAAATTTTTAATTTTTATGAGGCCTTTCGCCAGCTATGCTGGCATCATCAGACACATCACAAAACTGATTGTCTGATGATGCCAGCATAGCTGGCGAAAGGCCTCATAAAAATTAAAAATTTAGATATATTGGCGAAGTTATTATTTCAAATTAGTATTAATTCCAATATAAACAGTTCTTCTTGAAGATTATACAACAAATGTTTTCAGAGAGATTTTGTTATAAAATTAGCATTTTACAATTTGGAGGATGGCATTATCTTTATTTGTTTTATCTAAGTGAATTTGTCTATATTCAAAGAAATTTATATATATATATATATATATATATATATATATATTTAATTAATAGTCATGAAGATTATTATTGAAAATGTTCCTTGGTTGTATTATGATTAGAAAGTTTATATTTTAAACACACAGCATGAACAGTCCTTTGGAATTTTTATTTTAAACAGAGCATACATCTTTTAATGCAGGTACAGCAGGTTATAACTATTATACATATTATACCCATGTAGCACAGATGGTTGGGCCAACGTTGGCCAACTGTGGGACAGTTGGTCGATGGTTGGTTGGAGCTTCCACAACCAACCAACCGTTGTCCAACTGTATATCTCGTAGTTGGGCCAACCAATATTTACAACTGTGGACCAACATCGGTTCATTGTTAATGAAATACATTAATATGCATTGTTGGGTATCATACATCAAGCCAACCGTTGTCCAACCGTTTTTCACTCCGTTGGACCAACAAAAGATACTTTTGTTGGACCAACAATGGTCCATAGTTGAGTTTACACGACTTTCATTCTCTGGGTCTAGCTTTCACAACATAATTATAATAAAATATCTGGTTTTACAATACCTTTATCAGTTCCAAAAGTTTCCAAAAGTTTTTGGAACTGATAAAGGTATTGTAAAACCAGATATTTTATATATTACAGTTCCGGGGCTACAACAATGAATTTTAATAATTATAATAATGCAAATATTTTTTAAATTAATATTCTTTAACTTATTTGCAACAATTTAAGGGGAAAGAGTAATTAATCATATAACAGTCAATTATAATAGCATTAATAATCTAACGGTAATTAATTAATCTATATTCAAATACCAGTATCCTCTCTAACTCCAAAAAAAAATAACTACTTATGATGCCTTAACAGATTAACAGAATCATATTATACTGTGTAGTATCAAAAATGTTTGAAGTATTGCGACCATTGCAACTGTCGGCTACTCTTTCACCACTTGAAAACTCTCTGTATCAACAATCACAGATAGCTCAGTGGTAAGGTAAGAGGCTCATAAGTCGAAGGACCCGGGTTCGAGACCCGTCTGGGCCAAAAAATTTTGTTCCAGCTTTTTTTCAAAAATTGTTTTTATGAACTATTTAATCAATTTACTCAACTAATAATTATGCTTTTCGTACTAAATCTTTATTATTTTGTGTGAAATAATTTTGGTTGGGCCATTGTTGGACAAAGGTTGGCTGGAAAACAGTTTAAAGAGGTGACATTTCTACCGTTGGCCAACTGTGTGGCTCCACAATTTACCAACGTTGGCCCAACCATCTGTGCTACATGGGTAATATACAAACATGTTAAACGATGATTCAAGGTAGGGTAACCCATGCAACGCTATCCACTGCACCACCGAGGCCGATGGCTCAAGACCGTATCGTTGCGGTATTGGTGTTCCCTCAAAGTGACGTCAGCAGTTAGTGACGTCAAACGGCACCTGAGAAATCTTCCGTGTGCCGTTTCACGTAATATATATGGCGCCATTTGGAACAGACGTGCACGGTAGCGGCTCACGTCTGACGTGGGAATAGCCACTGCCTTGAAAAAACCGGTGTTAACCCATGGTCAACTTTATGTTGCTTTAGAAGGGCAAACCGGCCAGATGACGTTAAAATAGTACAAGAACCAAATAAAGACCAAGGAATCGACCAAAATGGATACTATACAACAAATACTAATTTGAAATAATAACTTCGCCAATATATCTAAATTTTTAATTTTTATGAGGCCTTTCGCCAGCTATGCTGGCATCATCAGACACATCACAAAACTGATTGTCTGATGATGCCAGCATAGCTGGCGAAAGGCCTCATAAAAATTAAAAATTTAGATATATTGGCGAAGTTATTATTTCAAATTAGTATTAATTCCAATATAAACAGTTCTTCTTGAAGATTATACAACAAATGTTTTCAGAGAGATTTTGTTATAAAATTAGCATTTTACAATTTGGAGGATGGCATTATCTTTATTTGTTTTATCTAAGTGAATTTGTCTATATTCAAAGAAATTTATATATATATATATTTAATTAATAGTCATGAAGATTATTATTGAAAATGTTCCTTGGTTGTATTATGATTAGAAAGTTTATATTTTAAACACACAGCATGAACAGTCCTTTGGAATTTTTATTTTAAACAGAGCATACATCTAAATGCATAATGCAGGTACAGCAGGTTATAACTATTATACATATTATAATATACAAACATGTTAAACGATGATTCAAGGTAGGGTAACCCATGAGACTTATACATGTAATTTGTAAAAATAGTTACTAGATATATATATATAAAGGGGATATTGCCCCTACAAGCCACTAGTGTAGTTTGCCTACTTTTATTGTCGAAAAAAAAATATTTATGTTGTACTGTGTTAACTAACTTAACTAAGGCATCCAATAGAAATTAAACAAGTCTACCAGTACCAGCTGGAGCCAAACGTCAAATCGGAATTAATTATTACTTGTTTGTTTAGTTGTCTTGTCTTAGGTTGGTTCTAAATCGTGTTTGTTTCTGTATGGGGATTAAAACACCTTGTAAAAGACATTGCTGACGTTCATTCAAACACTTACCGTACGATTTGTTTTGTTTTAAATTAGGCGAAGGTAGTATTGTATTTTAAATTAAACTAGTTTTTAGAACTACAGTAATATTCAACAGAATGTGTTTTACAGTATTATTTGTTGCAAAAGTCACACTTAGCCTAGCATGCATGATGTTCATATTCTTCTGATAATAGTCTAGGTATTTGAAGTCAAAATCTCTTTGCATACTTTAGTCAATCCTTATGTTGGCTATGCATTTAATGTTTACACAGGACAGGTGTTAGTGCCATAGTTCACATATTTGTGGTGTGTTTAAGTAGGGCCTATTATTTGTAAAACTACAGTAAGTTATAAGCCTACTTGGCCTTTGGTCAAAGCATCAATCAACAACAAGTTGAAAGTTATATAACGGAGTTAAGAAACTCCCCTGTAGGCCTACAAGAATTAGGATACCCCAAGTTCACTTTCAAACCTGTACTGCAGTCTGATGTTCTGAAATCTATTCAACGTATTCGCAGTAATGCTATTGGATCTGATGGCATTCCAATTCGCTTTATTAAGGCTATACTCCCCACTATCACCTGCATTTTCAACACATCTCTAAGGCAAAGCATATTCCCGATTTCTTGGAAGTCTGCCCTAATTCGTCCCTTAAATAAGATTCCAGCACCTGCTTCGGGTACAGTTTCTTAACTGGGCTAAAGCCTTGAAACGGTCCTGCGTAGTCAATGCATATTCTTTCCCAGTTCTCTTTTGGGATTTCCCACGGGTGATTGGGAGCTTTGGGCGGATTTGACCGTGTTAGTGCACAATTTTCACATCCTTTCACAAGATGCTCAATGTCCTTGTCAAAATTTGTAGTAAACATAGCGCCGTGCTAGCTGTTTCATTTTTGTGATTCCAAGATGACTTTCGTGAAGTTCATTTAGAATCTTGTTTCTAAATAGTGATGGCATGTAAACTCTTTCTCCCCGGAAAATAATGTTTTCGACCAAAGTAAAATCAGTTGAATTGGTGAGTAGGTCTTGCAAAATCTTAGAGAGCACTGGATCTTTGGCTGGCTCGTTCTTAATTATTTCAGCTGTGATTTCATGGCTTGAAATTCGAAAAATAACTTTGCTGCAGATTTGGTGTAGGCCTACCTCTTTTCCGATTTTCTTGTCTTTAGGTAGAGTGAGTCTGTGTAAGAGGAGCTCTTGAAAGACAATCCACGTTTTTATTTTCCATGCCCTTTTTGAACACCAACTTGTAGGCTAATTGAAACCTGACTGCATATCTGAGTAAACGAGCTGAAGTCATTTGTGGTAGAGCCTTGTCATGTCTGAAGATCCTAGATATGGGCTGATAGTCTGTTACAAGTTGAAATTGAGTCCCGAATAAGTAATAATAGAAGTGGGAGACACCAAAAACTATTATTATTTTTATTATTATTTGTTGTCATGAGAGCCGAAGCCCCCTGACTGCTTACCCGGTACCTATCCTTCAGGACATACCCGGGCCCCATGATGTAGGCCGAAGCTTACGCATCAACCTTTAGCACATCATGGGCGGATGACTTAAGGTCATCAGGCTCGCCGGCTGCCGAAGCAGACCCTTCGGAAAGAGGGTTGCCCCTCAATCCTAACCAGGGATTCTGGCTGCTTGTTTAAGCGTCACTCCACCTGGGTTCCACTAGGTCGGAACCTAGAGGTCCATAGTAGAGCGCCCCGACGCATTTAGTGCAAGCAACACTCGGGACCTATCTCATCCCTGACAGGCAGAACCCGCCATCAATAGCCAGGAGGAAGGGGGCCATCAGCACGCTGACGGGGGGAACCCCAACCTCCCATTTACACCGCTGCCCGATCGAGGCCTTACCCATTGCTGGGAAACCAGAGATAACCAGAGCGATAGATCCCCAGATACCCCTGGCGGGCTCGGACCCAGCACCCGATCTACTTCGTTTGCCCGTCAGACCCAACATCACTGCCAGGCCATCAGGGTTTCCCAAAAGGAGGCAGGTATAGAAGTGGGACCCACCCGGATGAACCTATCCACCAGAGGTGGCGACACCCTTGACTCAATTGAGGTTCCGGGAAGAACCCCCCACACTCAAGATAACCATACCGTCCGTGCTCAGAGACAGGGATAGGTTTGCATAAGTACCTACAAACCGTTGCCCTCACACTGCGGAAAGTTACGTTGCCCTTGAGTGTCCCCGTGAGCTGCGGGTACTTGCCCGTTTTCACCTCCAGGAAAGGTTACTTCCAAAGTCGAGGATTTGCCCACTGAATGCTGGTCGCACACAACAAGCAGGCCGAAGCCCAAAGAACCACAGACACAGGTAGGTTAGAGATTATGATGTACTTCCATCTCTCCTAGAGCTAAACACCCCTCCATCCTGGATAAAGGAATGTCACTGGGACCCGATGCCCAGTCGACCATGTCTGTGGCCAACTTGAAAATGCCGATACCAACACGGAGCATTTACCTCCCCTCTGGGGGCTAGGTATTTCACCTCCCAGGACGAGGCTACTTCCAAAGTCGAGGATATGCCTCACAAAATGTCAGTCGAACACAACAGGTAGGACTCAGTCACAACCACAGTTACAGGTAGATGAGGAGAGGCGGAATTAACGGCGTCACTGAGAGCTAAACACCCCCCCCACCCTGAATGGAGGGAATGTCACTGGAGGCTCCCCCTAAGGGGCTGGCGCTTACCAGTCGTCCATAACTGTGGTCTACCTGAAGTGCCGGGTCTGACACCGGGCAGTTACCTCCCCTCTGGGAGAGCTAGGGTCCGCGTGGTCGCCCAGGCCACGAACCCACGCAAGCGTGAGCCCCCTGCGGTTTTACCAAAAACTATAGGCAATGCCAGGGGTGCCCATCCCCCCCAAAGACAATAGCGCGAGTCCCCCCCCAAAATTTAACCACCCCCCCCCCCTCACCACGGCCATAGGATCAGTCCAGGGGGTCTACCCCCCTGTAGGAGGGGGGTACGGGGGTGCTCCCCCGGAAATTTTTGAAATTTTAGACATAAAATAGATGGGTTTTTATAATTTGAGGCACCTAATTAGAACCAAGAAGTTGGTTTGGTTAAAAAATGGTATGTTATTTTCTTCATCTTAGTATTGAAAACGTTGGTTTATCGTGAATTTGTCAAAATTGAGTTTGTCTCTTCTTCCCAAACAATATACAATAAAAACAAAACAGACTCCCTTTGCTCACACTTGCCGTAAGCCAAGGTTTGTTCTCAAACCAAGAAGTGCAAAATGTTCTAATTTTCTTAGGACCATCTTCTTGAGAAAATGTAAAGCCTTTATATAGGTTGGTGAGATCCTAGCTTTTTAATTGCAAATTTTTCCTCAAGAGCGAGGTTAGAAAAGTTTAATGTTAAAAGATTATCCACTTCATTAATTTTCCAAAGCTAAAATTAAACTAAATTAAGTTAGGCCTACCGTGTGTCAATCATCACAACTGTGAGTTAATGTATTAAAATATAACTAATATTTTGTTGAAAGTATAAATAATTCTATTAATTTAGTAGACTACAAGTATTTTACTTATTAGGTCTAGTGTTTCTGTTATGTCTACTCTACTCGTCTACTAAACATGTTATTAAAATAGTAAATAATTCCAAACTAATAGGCATTGGCCTACTCAAAACTATCTATCTACAAACATACAATTAGTCTGTAAATTTAAAATTTAAATCATGGCAAGAACTGCATTTTTAAATAATAACTCACAATTCTGAAAATTGCAGTACTGTTGAAGTAGGCCTAACCCCATTTGAACCACGAACACCCACTTCACAATAATTACATCACCACACCATCAACACACCTTTAAATTTAAATGATTACTAAAACCGACAAAATCGTAGTATGGCTACATACTCTAATAAATCTGTAATAATATCACGAAACTTACTAAAAGTGTTAACTTATTAGTTGTTAAAATATTTCATACAACTACAACCCGTTTGCCGGTTGGTGTACAACATACACGTAACACGGGCGGCGGGAATCGGGATGTAAACAAAGCTACACTAGCGAGCTCACTCGCCACTCGGTTGCCACCAGTACAGCGCTAACGCATCTCACCGGCCATGCTAAACCTGACGAGTTGTGTTATGTTTTATATTTATGCTTGATTGTGAGCACAGGTTGTCTTTAATGTACATACATTATAAAAATGTTGGCAAAAAGTTGTATTTTTTTAATCCCCCCCCCCCAAATCTAAAAAAAAACATCATTAAATCTCAAATTCCCCCCCAAAATTGAATTGTATAGCGCAGTTCGCGCTATCAAATCATTCTGTGGGCACCCCTGGGCAATGCTTCCCGGTCTAGTTGACTATAGTTACATTCGGCATCAGTGAGTGAACGTGAGGCATAAGCAATTGGTCTCTCAGTTCCATCAATTAAGTGGCTAAGAACTGCTGCTAGTCCAGTGGGTGAAGCGTCCGTGGTGAGGACTAACGGTAGTTTTGGATCGAAAGGTAAGAGTATCCTGTTACTGCAGAGCTCAGTTTTGATTCGTTGAAAAGCCTTTTCACATTCTGGTGTCTATTCCCATTTCTTATTTTTACGTAACAAACGTCGTAAAGGAGAAGTGACAGTTGAAGCATTTGGAAAGAAACGAGAGTAGTAAGAAACCATTCCTAAGAATCGTCGTAATTCTCCAACTTTTGATGGACGTGACATTTCTTTAATAGCTTGAACTTTGGCAGGAGATTTCTTTATTTTGTTTAACTCCATCACTCGTCCTAGATATTCTATTTGTTCTTGAAATGAACACTTCTGTTTGTTTATGTGCAAGTCAAAATCTGAGAGTCGTTGAAGACAGGCCTGTAGATTTCTTTCAGCGTCAATTTCACACAGCTCAATACCCAGTCCTAGGATCCATTGGCGCCCTGGATGTGCGTCATGACCTGAAGAGACAATGTGAAGGTCACCTTTGAACTGTTTACCCTTGTATGACACAGAAAGTGATACCTTTCCCTCTAGTTTGATTATGTCTCCAGAGTATGAACGGAAAGCTAGCCTTGATGGTTCTACAGGTACGTTCAGATGTAGA